GCCTCCTGGAGGTGTCATTGTTGTGAGGGCTCGTCCTGGGGAGGTAGACTGTACAGCCTAACCCGGCGGGGGAGTGTGATAGCCTAACAAGGCTTCCTTCCCTGGGTCTACCTCCTCTGTGGTAGTATAGGTAAGGTAAAGGAGGTTGTTCGGTTAGTGTGGGGAGCAGTGAGACCTGGCATTAGGGGAGTGTCTCTGGGACGCCAGAGATCACTGTCTAGCCTCCTGGAGGTGTCGTGGGACTAACTAGACGAAACACCGGTGAAAGGAGGTTCCCACCCGATGACCCCAAAGACATGTTAGTTATCACTGCTCACGGGTCTGTATAGTTAAGCCTTGCCATAATAGCTTATCGTAGGGCTTAGGAGGATTATTCACTGAGTGCTGATCCCTTTTTTTTTTTTTTTTTTTTAGAGCACAAACTTCTTGTGTTTATTTGAATAAAACAGGATGGTTCACATTTCCATGTGAGACTACTACTGATAATGAGGGAGATTGTGGGACCTACAGTCTCCAATAATAATAATAATAAGAGGAGTGTAGGAACAGTGTCCAAAGGGCAGGTCGTGGATTTAGTGTGTGTGATGATATCATAAATGTTGGACAGAGACACAGGCTGAAAGTCAGTAAAGACGGCAGAGCTGGTAGACATCAGGGAGGGATCGCTGGCAGGCGATGAAATATTTGACTGAATGTGATTAATTTTTGAGGAGAAAAAGTTTAAAAATTCCTCACAAATGGCTGTGGTCGGAACGGAATTTATTGTGTGAAACAACACTTTTGGACTGTGAGAGTTTCTGGAGATGATATTGGCAAAATATTTTGCTCTTGCAGCTTTAACAGATTGCTGATAGTTTGCCAGGGTGTCTTTCAAAATGTCAAGTGAGATCTGAAGTCTCTTTTTTCCATTTGTGTTCTGCCTGTCGACAGAGTTGCCTGAGAACACGGGTCTGACTATTCAGCCATGGTTGACTTTTAGTGTGTTTTTGAGTGTCAGAGGGGCAAAATGTCTCTACGGATTGAATTGAACGCTGTGATTAGTTGTTCTGTGCTCAAGCGATGGGGATGGCCAATTACGGTTTTAAAAAGAGAGGAGGCAGTGTAAGCATCAGCGAAATTACTGGCAGTGGATGTATTTATAGAGCGGGAGTAATGGACAGGTAATTTAGGGTTTGGGACAGTGTGAAACGGGGTTGAGAACATGATGCATCTGTGGTCAGAGACACCCAAATCATCCACATTCAGAGAGGCAATAGTCAAGCCAAGTGTAAATACTAAGGGTATGGCCACGGTTATGAGTTGGACCGGAAACATGCTGAATAAAGTTAAAGGAGCATCATGCACTCAAACCAGTGCAGCACTGGCATTGGTTTAAGTGTCCACATGAAAATTAAAATCCCCAACGATTAAAATTCTGTCAAAGTTTAAAACAACTGACGATAAAAACTCAGGGAACTCAGTCAGGAAGATGGCATTGTGTTTGGGTGGGCGATACACAGCTACACATAATCTGTACCTCCTGTTTTGAACATAAAAACCTCAAAACTGGTATAAACGTGAGACGAAATGGGTGTGCACTGGTGACAATTTCTGAAAATAACTGCCACCCCTCCTCCCCGACCACTTTGTCTTGGTGAGCTGAAAAAGTCATAGTTGGGGGGACAAACCTCTGAGAGCTGGCTATATTCACCCGACATTAACCAAGTTTCAGTGAGAAACATGAAATCTAAAAGGTTGGAGGAGATAAATTCATTTAGGATGAACGTCTTATTAGACCTCACATATAAGAGGGCCAACTTACACATAGCGACAGGCGGTGGGACAGCTGTGCATTTTATGTAAAGAAGATGGAGTTTATTAACACCTTTAAAAGTATGGCGAGGACAGGGACCCCATCTGTGATATCACCCTAAGAGGGCGAGAGGGTGATTTTATATATATATAATCAATACTGGACTCAATTTTTCTAAAAAGGAATGTAGATGCATTCACTAAACCATTAACAAAAGTAGTGAATGCTTCTATCAAAGAAGATAAATATCCTAATGACTGGAAGTCAGCCATTGTGGTACCAGTCTTTAAATCAGGAGACTCAACTGCTATAAGTAACTATAGGCCAATCAGTATTTTGTCTCTTATCTCCAAAGTTGCTGAAAAATCCGTTGTTGAACAGCTAATTTCCCATATTAACAGTAGCCCATACACTCTGCACCCAATGCAGTTTGGTTTTGGGACCAACCACTCCACTGAGACAGCAAACTGCTTCTTCTTAGAAAATATTAAACACAAAATGGACAAAGGACGTGTTGTCTGTGCCATATTTTTAGATTTTAAGAAGGCATTCGACACTGTCAGTCATCAGATACTCCTCTGCAAACTTGCAAACTATAATTTTTCCATTGGCGCGCTGAACTGGATGAAGTCCTGTCTTGCAGATAGAGTCCACTATGTAAGGGTTGGAGGTGAGACATCACCCTTTCTGAGCAATGAAATGGATGTGCCCCAGGGATCCATCTTAGTACCTCTCCTGTTTAGTTTATTTATAAATGATCTTCCGTCCATCTGCACAGGGTGCGAAGTTCAGATGTACGCAGATGATACCGTTATTTATGCTCATTCAAAAACTAAAGAACTGGCAGCTGCCAAATTGAATGCTGTAATGGTGAAGGTTAACAACTGGCTCAATGAGTCTCAACTGTTTCTTAATGTTAAGAAAAGTTTGTATGTATTTTACAAAAGCAAGCTCGACATCGGATATCAATCCTGATAGTGTTTGTCACTGGAGAACCGATCAAAGTAGTCACTGAGTTTAAATATCTTGGTGTTGTCCTTGACCCTACTTTATCCTTCAAAAATCAAGTAAAAAGAGTAATGCAGACTGCCAAATATAATTTGGCTAATTTTAGATATATATGAGGAACTGTCTAACATCCACTGCTGCGCTTCTTTATATGAATGCAATGATCATTTCTCATCTAACATACTGTATGACAAGCTGGACCCATGCAAAAAGTACAACGCTGAAACCCATTCTCTCTCTGTACCAGCAGGCTCTCTAAGTGCTTGACAGAAAACCAGATACTCACCATCATTGTCACATTCTCAGTATATATAACATCCTCAGCTGGGAAAAACCTAACAAAATAGGCCGATGCCTGCATATTGTTTAAGATCCTAAATGGCATGGCTCCTCCACCTCTCAGTACTTTTGTTAAACAAAAAACATCTGACAACAGGTCTACAAGATCTGCCTAGGAAGGGGACTGTATTGTACCTTTCAGGTCCAGCTCCTTCAGTCAATCTTGCTTTACTGTTAGAGCCTCACAGCTTTGGAACGCCTTACCAACTGAAATAAGATACTGTGCCACTTATCACACCTTCACAAAAAATCTAAAGGCCTGGCTTTTAAAAAAAAACAAAATTGTGAACACACCTAACTAGTTTATGATGTATTTTACCATTGTTTATTAACTTGCTGCTAACCTGCTAAATGTCTCTGTCCATTGTCAGGCCCCCAGCTTTGCATGGCTTGGTATGTACAAACACCCAATAGTCTGATTAATACCTAGATTGTATTTTATTTTGCTCAAGTTCTGATGCTTTGCATGGCTGACTATATTGCTTGATTACCATTGGACTGTATGCTGCTGCTCTGTGCTTCTTGCATGTCTATCATTATGCTGTTCAAGTTCTGCTGCTCTGCCTGTCTATCGCTGCTTTGCATGGATGACTATATGGCTTGATTGCTATTAGACTGCATGCTGCTGTTTTATGCTTTTTGCATGGCTATTATGTATTATTATGTTATCCTGTTCTGTATATATTGTAAATACTGTATCTTACTTTTAATGCTTCTGTTTTAGGTTATGGTTTCATAACATCTTGCCGGAGGACTACAGTTGCGAATTAGCCAGCTGGCTAAAACTGGCACATTTACAGTAATGTTGATTAATGTGTACTGTCCTTTTTATAAATAAAATAAACTGAAACTGATATATATATTGACTTTTATTCCAAGTATTCAAGATTAAATGTTTGCGGCACTAACATTATGAATGTATTAATATACAGAACACAGTTTATCCAGTAGTTATAGTAAATAACAAACCAAGGCACAAGATAGTAATGATGAAAACACATTTCATTGTACTGTATGTTACGTAGCAGCTGCCTAATTGGGCAAATATGCCGATCACACATGGACAGGAATTACAGTGTTTTGTCAATCAGAATTCAACTAATAAGAAATAACGTATGAGGTAAACTTTTTTTCCTTCAAGCACACCAAAGCTTATTTCCTCTTGTTCTCTGAATATTCAAAAGCAGTATGCCTCTCCAGAATCAGTACCGAATACAAAGGTGATGAATGTGTAATCCACCCAATTACAAGTACAATTTCAATGAAAATATTAAGAAATAGTCCCATTTAAAATTGTCCACAGTGACATCTGCACCCTTTGGACTCCCCCAAAGAATAAAAGAATCAGCATATTTAGCTGGAGTAAGAATCTTGAAATTATCCACTTAAAACAGATGAAAACCTGAAGGCTCTACTTCATAAACATGTTGAAATGTAATTGACTGTTTTCAGTTTAGTAGAACATTCATTTTCCCTTGTTGCTCTTGTTCAGTATCTAGGTTTAAAGTTTGCTTGCATTTAATAAAAAAGAGAATATCATATTTTTCAAACAAAGCATTAACATATTATGATGTATTTACCAACAAGGCCATTTTAAAGAGCATAATACAAACCAATGGAGCATTTACATGTGTTCAGGTACATGTCTTTTGGAAGTAGACTTCCCTGTGCTTAGATAATATATACCAACTAATTAAGCAGCCATCACTGAGCAGAAGATTCTTCAAATATCACTAATATTACATCTGAACCTACTCTATAAAAACTCTAATGAATGTTAAAGATTTTGACTACATACAAGTCTGAAAGATTATGCTTGGCATCAATATGAAAATCACACAGTAGATGATGGTTTCCTAGTCTAAAGATGTTTACCACACAGAAACGCCATAATTCTATTTCTTATTTGGGTCAATTTGAAACCATATATCAGGGGATTAAACAGTGGAGGAATGAGGAGAAATTCAATCGCGATGAAGTTCTGGGCACTTTGTGATAAATCTTTTGAGCCAAATCGCAGATACAACAAATCAATAAGCAAACACACAACAAGACCAAGTAAACAGAATAAATGTGGCAGACATGTTTGTATAAACTTTGCCATGCTCTCTTTAGATGTTAAGCATGTCCTGATCAGATATACATAAGACCAAATAATTAGAACAAAATGGCAGAAATAAAAAGTATAATTAAAAGCTGGAATAGCAATGTGTGCTATGGAGGCAGAACAAGCTAGTTTATTAACCAGCCAATTAACACAGTAAATTTTTGGTATGTGTGAGCCGCATAATGATTTTGATATTGTAACTGAACCCATGAACACCAAATAAATGGGTATAAGCCAAGCAAAAAATACAAACACACACACTCTCTGTTTAGTCATCACAGAGTGGTACACCAGAGGACGACATATAGCCACATATCTGTCATAGGCCATAACAGCTAGAAAAGAAAAATCAGCACAAGCAGAAGAGTGCAACACAAAACCCTGCAGAAGGCATCCAGCATAAGAGATGACATGAGTGGTAGACAGAAGATCCATGAGGAATTTGGGGTAAAAGCCTGCTGTTCCATAAAGTCCATTAATACACAGGTTACACAAGAATATATGCATAGGCTCATGAAGTTTTCTGTTCACAATGATGGTTATGATGAGAGCAGCATTTACTATCCAAATGACTGAATAACACAGTAAAGTGAGAACAAACATAATGATTCGGTGCTGCACTGTGTAATTTAATCCTGAAAGCACAAAAAAGGTTAGTACAGTAACATTATCCATTATACTCATAAGACTTTCATCTACATCAGTACAGTAGTATTATTTCAAACCTCATTATGTGCAGATCATATAGTGACTCCACAGAAACGTCGTTGACACACATACTCCCCAAGTGCTGGTGAAGCAGCAAAGGGTATTTGACTGTACCAGTGTTGATTCCTCACTTTAAATCATCTTTCTCTGACGTCTCAACACAACCTGGACCATCCCACCCCATCCCACCCCATCCCACCCTCTGTTGTGGTAGCTGGTGCAAATTCTGGCTCCGGGAACACCTCTCTGTTAAATGGATATATTCCTGTTGCCCGGAAACCTGCCTGAATGTTGCTCAGAGTAAATGCGAGAGGGAAGGCTGTAGCCACAATTTTGGGGATATCATAGATAGTCATGGTTTTCCCAGGGTTGTTCAGCATCCAGGCAGAGGAGGCAGAGTTGATTTGCCTCTTCAATGGGCCGTAGACAGACACATCCAGGGGCTGCAGGCGATGGGAGCAATGTGGAGGGAAGGACAACATCACAACTCCATTGTTCTTGGCATACTCCAGCCCCTCTACAGACAGGTGGGAGCTATGATTGTCAAGGAGCAGGAGGCATGGCTTCTCCCTGCTGCATCTTGTATGCGCCACAAAATGCTGCAGATATTCTGCAAAATGCTCCTCCTTCATCCAACCACTTGGATTCGCTGATCCTGCACTTCCGGTGGGGGCCGACAGTAAAAAGTGACTGCGGAAGTTCACCCTGGGAAAGATGAAGAATGGGGGTATGCTATTCCCAGTGGCAGAGATGGCACAGGAGAGAGTTACCAGGGTTCCTCTCTCAGCAGAGGTCAAAGATCCCACCTGTTTGAAGCCTTTCCTGGCTACCACCTTATTTGGCTTATGGATGGTGGTAATGCCTGTTTCATCCATATTCCAAATGGACTGTGGCTCAAACTTATATCTTGCCATAACCTTCTCCAAGTTAGCGAAGAAGTGGTCCACGTTGTGCTTATTAAAAGCACTGGCACGTGCTAGGCTGGTGGCCTCGGGGGTCCTGATTGAAAGTGACGGGTGTCTCTTCAGAAACCCAGAGAACCAGTCTGGCCCTGCCATACCATTTTCTGCCCAGTTAGTGCGGACAGCAATATTATTGTGCACTGCAAAGTTGTACGCCAGTTTGCGGACTTCAGTTGGAGAGAGGCCAAAATAGATGTCAGAGGCTTTTTTTATATATTCCTCCAGAATAGGAGGAATATATAAATGTTGATGTTTATATTTATATATAAACATCAACATTTATGTTGATGTTCCTGCTCCTCACTCAGAACCATACGGTTCTTCACATAGCCCACTGGCATCGATGAGCAGGCGTCCCTCCCTGCGATCTCTTGCTCATCTATCTTGGAGCAATATCTTGCCAGTGTTCTATAATTTATCCCAAACGTCTTGGCAGTGCTCCGGATAGTCGTCTGTTTTAATTTCACCTCCCTGACTGCCATCATCATCACATCTGCCGGAGTCTGGCCCTTCTCTGTCTTTTTAACAAAATTTCTCCCCATGTTCCTTTACATAAAAGACAGAATTCAATATTAATTTTAATTAATACTTAATACTTACTTCTACATGATACTTTTCAATAGTAACAATTGTTTTGTTATAAACCCAACTGATTTTAATTAATTTTAATTTAATTTTTTAATGGTAACAATATTTTGTTATAAAACTAGCCCAGAAGAAAAATACTGACAAGCTTAATATTTACAAAGTGACACAAAAAACAGCCATCTCCTGT